GTCATCAGGGTTAGAGGGGTGGTCAGTGTCTGTCCCATGTTTTCCATCCACAGTAACACAACCACAAACACAGCAGACAAAACGAAGCTACCAACATGAAAGTGTGGTTTTCCGCGGCCATGAAGACAAAAGTAAAACTGAGCTGAGGGTAAGTCCGTGCCCCTAGGTGACTGACTTTCCTCACAGATGAGGACTTCGTCCTCCAGACGGGGCTGCAGGACATCTCCCACGACCCCTGGTCAACGGCCCACCAGTGCGTCTGCTTAAGTCAATGCCAACCAGGATACACAGTGGAATTCCTATGAATACAGATGCGCACTGATAGAGGAACAAGTGCACTCACCTGCCGGCACTGGGACCCTCCGGGCTGGGGAGTATCTTTGGGCGGGGGTCCTCTGGGATCCCGGATGAGCCCCCAAATGTTGTACCCGAATCCTGAATCCAAGAGACCACCAAAGAGCCAGCTCCGATGCAAATCACACGAGGGTCTTTATTCAGGCTCGAGTCTGGGCTCACGTCTGTAACCGGCACAGCGGTACAGGAACGAGAGCCCCGACCCAGTGCAGCAGGCAGCTTATATACACAGTTACAAGGGAGGAGAAAGAACTTTACACTTGTTCGCACATGATTGGGTAATTTCTCCTACTGGGTACGGGGGCATTTGGGATTGGTTGGTTTGTATGGTCACGGGTTGCGCTGACCGCCGCTGACCATCAAATGGTCAGGCAGGCTGGGTGGAACTGGTTGGGACCTCTGGAATGTGAGACTACTAGGGGAGTGGAGCAGGAGATGGGGCCAGAGGGTCTGCACCATGACTCCGCGGTTTTCTTTTGGTATGTGAACTTGTTTACCAAAAGTATACTACTGGGCTTGGGTGGGAAGGCAAGCATACATCTGAGTTTTAAAAACAAGTTTCAATATACATTCAAAATAAGCCTCAACCTACACTTAAAACAAGTTTTACCACACAATTATGAACTAGATGACCCTTGAGCTCCTCAAGTATAACAAAAAATTAAATAAATAATCAAAGCCCTGGCCACTTTGTACTCAGGCCACTTCTCAGGGTTGTGTTTGCAGCTAGCAATCAATCCTTGAGGGAGAGATAATGTTTCCAACTGGGACAAAGAATAGCTTGCTTACTGCTTACTATATGAGTAAACCGCAGGTTCCCCAAGCTTATTGTTCCTCCTCTGTAATGCAACTCCCTGTGTGCCTAGCATCCATCTAGGCCTCTCCTATGTTGCTTCTGTAAGAGGCAAAAGAAATCAACCCACACGTGCTCATGCTGCTTGTTGTGCCATCAACAATGAAGTCTTTTGTCTCTGACCCAAGAATCTCTTCTTTTCTCCCAGCATCCATGAAATAATAACAGATTAATTTATTAACCTGAAAATAAGACAGCCTCGAATTTCACATCTGACAGTAGGTATCATTTCCCTTTAACAGATAAAGGCAGTGATATTAAATAGCTTTTCCAAAATCATATATCTGAGGCTGGGCTTGGTGGCTCATGCCTATATTCCCAGCATTTTGGGAGGTTGAGGTGGGATGATTGCTTGAGCCCAGGAGTTCTGAGACCAGCCTAGGCAACATAGTGAGACATAATCTCTATCAAAAAAACCCCAGCCAGGTGTGATGGCTACTCAGAAGGTTGAGGTGGGAAACTGCTTGAACCCAGGAGGTCAAGGCTACAGTAAGCCATGATCATGCCACTGTACTCCAGCATGGGTGACAGAGTGAGATCTTGTCTCAAAAAACAAACAAAACACTCCACAAAATCATATATCTGGTAATTCTGAGGGCCAGGACTCGAAGCCAAGTCTGACATCAAAGCAAATTGCTTCACAATGTACTATTCCATTAAACTGTCCTTTAAGATAATTGGTGACCTACTTAACAAATCAGTACTTCAGCTTTTATCTTATTTACTTTAGTTTTCCTACTTAAACTGTCTTGTAACTTGGCATTCGTATCCCGCATTCTTCTAGTCTTCCTGATACTTCTTGGGGTTTCTTTTAGTGTACACAAGTAGAAATTCCTTCCTAGCAATTCTTGAGAAACTTATATGTTTTTCCAAATCACAAGAACAATTAGTCAAGATATGGGGAAAAAGCAAAAAAGTATTATAGGCTGAGCCACCCAGCCCGGCATGGCACAAAATTTAAACATTTTTAAAAAAGTATGTAAGTTAAAATAAAATCAGGCAACCCCAAGTCGGGCTCGGTGGCTCAGGCTGTAATCCCGCCTTTTGGGAGGCTGAGGTGAATGGATTGCCTGATCCCGCAGGTTTGAGACCCACCTGGGCAAATTGCTGAGACCTCATCTCTACAGTAAATCAAAAAATTAGTCGGGTGTGGTAGCGCACGCCTGTAGTTCCAGCTACTTGGAAGGCTGAGGCGGAAGGATTGCTAGAGCCCAGCAGGTTGAGAATGTGGTGATCGGGAGCGGCCACTGCACTCCAGTCTGGGCGACAGAGTGAGACTCCAACTCAAAAAAAAAAAATCAAGCTGGGCTCTGTGGCTCAGCCTGTAATCCCGCGGTTTGGGAGGCTGAGGTGAGTGGATTGCCTGAGCCTGTGCGTTTGAGACCCACTTGGGCAACTTGGCGAGACCTCATCTCTACAATAAAAATAAAAAATTAGCTGGGCGTGGTAGCACGCGCCTGTAGTTCCAGCTACTTGGAAGGCTGAGGTGGAAGGATCACTGGAGCGCAGCAGGTCGAGGCTGCAGTGGCGATAACGGCCACTGCACTCCAGTCTGGGTGACAGAGTGAGACCCCAACTCAAAAAAAAAAAAATCAGGCAACCCCTTCGGGTCCCCTCCCACTGTGGGAGATTTTCTGTCCTCTTAATAAATCCTGCTTTCTCAAAATAAAATATAAAATAATATAAATTCTTTCACCAGGTGCAGTGGCTCAGGCCTGTAATCCCAGCACCTTGGGAGGCGAGAGGATTTCCTGAGCTCAGGGGTTCGAGTCCAGCCTGAGCAACATGGCAAGACCTCATCTTTACAATAAATCAAAAAACTAGCCGGGCATGGTGGCACAAGCCGGTGGTTTCAGCTACTTGGAAGGATCACCTGAACCTAGTAGGTTGAGGCTGCAGTGGCCATGAGCGTGAGCACTCCCAGCCTGGGTGACAGAGTGAGACTCCAACTCAAAAAAAAAAAAATCTTTCTTCTACCACTATCCTCCATATCCCAAGTTCTCCTCCCTAGAAGTCATTGTTACCAGGTTATTATGTAACCCTCCTGCAGATACTTAATGGATATATGAAACATAGGTATAGAACATTTTCCCCTCTTAATGCAAATAGTAGTATATTATAGACACTACTTTGCACCTTGATTTTTTCTTTTTACAATATATCTTGTTAAGCGATTGATTCATGTCTGCACATTATAGTCATTTAATCCTTTTTCTAGTTGCGTAGTATTCCACTGCAAGGATGGATGGATGGATGGATTATTGATTGATTGAGTGGGAGTCTCACTCTGTTGCCCAGGCTGGAGTGCAGTGACACACTCACAGCCACTGCAGCCTTGACCTCGATCCTTTCGCCTCAGCCTTCCAAGTAGCTAGAATTACAGGCATGTGCCACCATGCCAGGCTAATCTTTTGATTTATTGGAGAGATGAGGTCTCGCCACGTTGCCCAGGCTGGTCTTGAACCCGTGGGCACATGCAATCCTCTCACCTCGGCCTCCCAAAGTGCTGGGATTATAGGCATGAGCCACTGTACCATGCCTGATTTATGGGTTTGTTTTGTTTATTTATTTATTTTTCGAAAGCAGGAATCATTGAGAGGACAGAAAAGCTCCCACAGTGGGAGGGGACCCGAGGGGGTTGCCCTATTTATTTATTTTAAAGAAGAGGTCTCCTTATACTGCCCAGGCTTGTCTCGAACTCCTGTCAAGTGATCCTCATGCCTCAGTTTCCCAAAGCGTTGTGATTATAGGCGTGAGCTACAGTGTCTGGCCCCTTATTTTATTTAACATAGACATTTTTTGCTGTCGTCTATCTCCTATTCTTTTGTTGCTTATTATTATGAAATAGAATGCAAAGTGGTTTCACTATGGGGATGGGCAGCGTTTTGTTACACATCTAGAATTTTCTCCTCTGCTTCTATGAATATGTGGTTGGAAAGGTTTGAAAAAATAGTCTGAGATGATCTGATTCATCTCCCAATTTCATTACTGATTTATCCGCTGTAATTTGAACACAGATTTTTCTGACTGAGACAGGACACAGATGGATTACAGTAATAACTATACATTCATAATGACTAAGAACTTAATACAGTGCCCTACACGAAGCACTTAATTAAAGCTGGGAGTCAGAAAACGACTCTAAATCCCAGCTCTATCGTCTATGAACAGTCATCTGGCCTTTTGCATCTCTAAAAGAAAAGACATCTGTGACCTCAGGGCAAAGGCCAAGTTAAATACTGGGTAGGAACCTGTTCCCGCAGCCACCCCGGGCTGGGCCTGCCCGGAATACACAGAGCTCAGACTTGGGATGGACCTTCTCTCGCTCCCTCGCCTCCACAATCTACCTGTCTTTGCCCTTCAGCTTTTACTCACCTCGAAGCCCTGGACCTCTCGATCTGCCTCTGAGACGTCTCACACAGTCTCCAGGAGCCGAAGAGAGTAGTATCAACTGGTCAGAGCCTGTCCCCTCGATCGCTGTCCCGGAAAAACGAGTCAGGAGGGACCTCCCCTTCGGCTACTTTCAGATCCGTCGCTCCCTCACGCTCAACCTTTCAAACAGGCCGCTCCAGATAGACCAATCACAGCCTTCCTTCTTCCCCTGGCTTTCCCGCGCTGTCCAATCAACGCATACTATCTATCAATTGGCCGTGTGGTGGAGGCCAACCTCCCGCCGGTTTCCCCCAGGTACGTAAGGGCAGAGGGAAGAGATGGTGACGTCGAAAGGCGCCATCTTTATTAAGGGCAGAACTGCAGGCCCTGGCGGACTTCTCGAAGGAAAGACAGGCATGCTAAGCATCTTCACGTAACCTGGAAACCTTCTTTGCCAAGCACCGAAGGGGTTTTCCATGGGGCCGCCCCTTGCTGCGCTCACAGTGAATGTACCCGGGGAGGCCCGGCCCCGGCGGACGAGGGAAAGATGGCTGGACGCCGTGAGTTTCGCGGACGTGGCGGTGTACTTCTCCCCAGAGGAGTGGGGCTGTCTGCGGCCCGCGCAGAGGGCCCTGTACCGGGACGTGATGCGGGAGACCTACGGCCATCTGGGCGCGCTCGGTGAGGCCCAGCGCTCTGGCCAGAATCCCCAGTAACCTGTGGAAAGGGGGATTGATATCCCCAGAGGCGTTTGGGCTGTCAGTGGGGCAATGAGGAGGCAGCTTCATCCTTCCCGCCTGTGTTCTCAGCCGAGCCCAATGTTTCTCTTTCGCAGGATTTTCAGGTCCCAAACCCGCTTTTATCTCTTGGGTAGAAGCAGAGGTGGAGGCGTGGAGCCCGGAGGCCCAGGACTCCGAGGGTAAGAGCCTAGCAGCTGTTTCCAGAGGCAAGGGAAAGGTAGCAGGTACTTCCTTTCAGACCCCAGTACGTGGCTTCTGAGAAACCCAAGCCGCCTCCTCCCCCCACTCAGATCCCTAGTACACACTGCCCCTTGCAAAGGCCCATTGTGTCTCATGGCACCGTGTTTCCAGAAAGGTTATCTCACTGCAAAATGGCCCAACAGAACAGCTACATTGGGACCTAGAGAGCCATTTAATCATGCTGAAAAACTCCAGTTTAACGCCAAATAGAGCTTGAGCCTCTCAGAAAATCAAGTGAAGGGGGAAGCATAAGTATTTTATGTTGTGTGATAAAATGAAGCCGGATGTTCCTCTGGCTATTGTGTGACTCTTGGAGTGGTAGATAGTGCCATACATCAGACTTTTAAATGAAGACATAGGCCTGGCGGGTGGCTCAGGCCTGTAATCCCAGCATTTTGGGAGGGCAAGGCAGGAGTTGCTTGAGCTCAAGAGCTCGAGATCAACTTAGGCAACATAGCAAGACCTCATCTCTACCAAAAAAAAAAAAAAAAATTAGCTGGGCTTGATGACATGCACTTGTAGTTCCAGCTACTTGGGAAGCTGAGGCTTCATGATTATTTGAGCCCAGGCCGTCAAGGCTATGATGAGCTGTGATTGTGCTACTGCACTCCAGCCTGGAAGACAGAGTGAGACACTAACTAAAAAAATAAAAGAAGATGAAGACATAGGAAGCCGAGATGAGAGGATTGCTTGAGCTCACAGGTCTGAGACCAGCCTGGGCAACTTGGTGAGACCTCATCTCTGTAATAAATCAAAAAATTATCCGGGTGTGGTGGCGCATGCCTGTAGTTCCAGCTATTTGTAAGGCTGAGGCGGAAAGATTGCCTGAGCCTAGCAGGTCGAGGCTGTGGTGGCCGTAAGCATGTGACTGCACTCCAGCCTGGGCAACAGAGTTTAAAAAAAAAAAAAGATGAAGACAAAATGTTTTTCTTGCAGCCATGATGCCATGTTTATTCCCAGATCTTCCCATGAAATCTAGTATGCAGTCCAAGTGTAGACATTTTGGTGATGGCCTCAAATTGTTGAACCCGTGACTCTAATGAGAGAGATAGAGACCACAAAGAGCCAGCTCCGATGCAGACACACAAGGGTCTTTATTCAGGCTCGAGTCTGGGCTCACACCCGAAGCAGCAGCTTCAGGGACGAGAGCCCCGATTCATAATGGCAAGCAGTTTTTATGCACAATTACAGAGGGAGGGGAAAGAACTCCAAACTTGATTTTACATGATTGGGTAATTTCTCCTAATGGGTACAGGAACACTTGGTATTGGTGGGTGCTGCCCGTGATTGACAGAAACCCACGTAATGGGCCAAGTGGAATGTTAGATAAGTTAGGTCCATACAGTCCCTGCGTATGAAGTAACCTGAGCTGGCAGGCAAAGGGTTACATTAGCCCTTTAAGTTTCCATCCCAAGGTCTGCTTAGGAAAGATTGTTTGCTTAACATTTACATAACATAACATGGTCATTATAGGACAACAAAAGCCAAACTTAACAAAGTTTTAAATATGAATGCTGCAAACCCATACAGTGAATGTGGGGTAGAAAATCATATACTAATTCTGGGAATTTATAAAATATCACAAGCTTATTATAGCAAGGCGGTTACTTTTATAAAAATCTTTGTTCCCTGCAGGTTTACATAGCCACTGCGTGTAAATTATCACTGGGATAAAAACCGGTGATAGAGAGCAGCTGGTGCCTCTGAGTCTGCTGCCACCTTGTAGTAATGTCTGAAAGGGGCTTATCGCTTTATCATTTACATCCCGTTGTAAAAGCATAAGTTAGTCTGCTAATTTGGGGCTGACAATGCTTAACCCAAGAGTTCTAAATACAAACACTGCTTAAAACCCGACATATGCCTAATTCTATGGGGTCTGAGGTAGGATTTAAACTACTAAAATTTCATAAAATACATGAGGTAGGAATACACAAAATATATAGTAAACATGAGGTGGGGATATATGAAATACAGTGAACTAAACGCTACTTTTACAGCAAATAAGTTTCTTGGTTTCCTGGGTCTCTCAATAGCATGCTCTTAACCTAAATCTATTGTTGTCCTCTCAAAATGGCACCAAAGAAGGTCATTTAATGCCTGTTTTGCAAAGGTATCATAAACAGGTTCAGGATGGTAAGTTCTATGAGGGCGGTGACCATCACTATTCTCAGTGCCTGACACAGAATAGTAGCTCAATATTGTTGACTCCTCTTCCCGTTATTCGTGTTCAGGGCCTTCCTTTGTTAACCTCCCGTGTTTTTTTGCTTTTACTCCAGGTTAACTTTTAGTGTCCTCATGACTGAGCTCCTAAGGGGCCATATTCTCAGCCGTTTTATGCTGCCTTCCAAGGCAGGACATGGTCTGGAACATGCTGCCAAGTTTCAGATTTTATTTTTTTCCCCTGTCTCAGGATCCAGGGATGGGATTGAGGAAAAGGAAAGGCTGAAGAATAGTCCAAAACAAAAAGAGACACATGAAGTGTCTCTCAAGGCGTGGTTGTCAGCCAGTGTGCCATCTGGCTTCAATCCCAAAGCTGCCTGCCCAGAGCTCTGCAGCAACCCTAGTCAGAGCCCCATCAAGCCTTGGCTCAAGGACACACTAATCTGCAGACTGCCCTACTCTTGCCCAGACTGTGGCCGCAACTTCAGCTACCCTTCTCTTCTGGCCAGCCATCAGCAAGTCCACTCCAGGGAGCGGCCTTTCTCCTGTGACCAGTGTCAGGCTCGTTTCTCCCAGCGCAAGTACTTGCTCCAGCATCAGTTCATCCACACAGGTGAAAAGCCCTACTCCTGCCCTGACTGTGGGCGCCGCTTCCACCAAAGAGGTTCCCTGGACATCCATAGGTGGGCACACACTGGGGAGAAACCCTACCCATGTCCAGATTGCATGAGTCGCTTCACTTACCCCTACCTGCTGGCCATCCACCAGCGGAAGCACACAGGCGAGAAGCCCTACAGCTGTCCCAACTGCAGCCTCCGTTTTGCCTACACCTCCCTGCTGGCCATCCACAAGCGCACACACACAGGCGAGAAACCCTACCCCTGTCCTGACTGTGGCCTTCGCTTTACCTACTCCTCTCTCCTCCTCAGTCACCGGCGCATTCACTCAGATAGCCGGCCCTTCCCCTGCCTGGAGTGTGGGAAAGGCTTCAAGCGCAAGTATGCCCTGGAAGCCCATCAATGGATCCATCGCTCTGGCAGTGAGAGGCTGAGTTGGCAGTGGACTGCAGTGGGGCTTTCAGAGCCAGCCCTTGCTTTGCGGGGCCAGGATCCCCCAGTTCATTTCCGGTACTTTCCAGATATATTTCAAGAGTGTGGGTGATGGACTGCACACAAGATGATCAGAGTTTTCTTTGGAAAGGAAATGGGGGAATAAGGAAAGGAAAGTGGGGATTTAAGGAAAATAAGGTCTGTTTTAGGAAATAAGCAGAAGTGAGGGGGACAGAGAAAGTCTGTGGGGAGGAGGCAGGAATCTGAAAAGCTGACTGAGGACTGATCCCATTTTCTGAGACTTTGCTTACAGACCCCCTTGTTCCACATCCCACCGTGGGTTACTTTACTGAAAACCACTCACCTAATAGCTTTTCCTCTGGACTGTTCTCTCTCTTAGAGCACTCTGCTTTTTGGTCTCTATCTCTCTCCTGCTCCGAGATGGGGTCCCCTAGATGTGAGTGCCTATTAAAGGAGCCAGCATTCACTCTGGATCCCCCATAATACAGGGTACATCTTGGACCTGTCCCCATGGGGATCCTGTCTTTTAGCCAGTACAGGTGAAACATCTGGCAAGGAGACACGTGTGGTATGAAGCCATTGTTGGCATTCTTTGGTCTTGAAGACCTAGAGATGGCCATAGAGAAGACAGTGGCCTCAGGTGGGAACTCTCTTGCCCCACTCTCACTCTGCACACAGTATCAAACCTAACAAACTTTAGAATTGGGCCATCTCTCACTGTATGAATTAGTGATTGCAATGTTGTTTGTTTCCTCAGATACTTGCATGTCCTTGGATTTTGTACCTTTGGATTAAGATGTATTCTGGGGCCATGGCAGCTAGAAATATAATGTTGGAGGCTTTTAAATTTTTTTTTAGGCTGGGCTCAGTGGCTCAGCCTGTAATCCCAGCACTTTGGTAGGTGGAGGTGAGAGGAATGCCTGAGTGTGGAGGTTTGAGACCATCCTGGGCAACTTGGTGAGACCTCATCTCTACCATAAATCAAAACATTAGCTGGGCATGATGGTGCACACCTGTATTTCCAGCTACTTGGAAGGCTAAGGGGGAAGGATTGCCTGAGCTCAGTGGCCATGAGCGTGCACTGCATTCCAGCCTGGGCGACAGAGTGATACTCTCACTCAAAAAAAACCAACTTGAAATCAGGTATAGTCTTTCCAATCTAATTTTTACTGTAATGCTTGTATATGTCAGTGGTTAAGAAAAGCCCTTCTGCCTCATTTAAATCAGCTAGCCCAGCCGGGCTCAGTGGCTCAGCCTAAAATTCCACACCTTTGGAAGGCTGAGGTGAGTGGATTGCCTGAGCCTGCGGTTTCGAGACCCACCAGAGCAACTTGGCGAGACCTCATCTCTACAATAAATAAAAAAATCAGTCGGGCGTGGTAGCGCACGCCTGTAATTCCGGCTACTCGAAAGGCTGAGGCTACTCGGAAGGTTGAGGCGGAAGGATCACTGGAGCCCAGCAGGTCGAGGCTGCAGTGGCTGGGAGCAGCCACTGCACTCCAGTCTAGGCAACAGAGTGAGACTCCAACTCAAAAAAAAAAATAATAATAATAATAAATAAATAAATCTGCTAGCCCTACTTTTGAACAGGAAACAATTGAAGCAATAAACAAAGAAGTGAGTGGGATTAAGCATATCTGGTGCTAAGTGACTCAGATATCTCTTTGAACAAAAGACTGTTTCTTTGAATTCCTGGATTCCAAAGATGATTATTGACAGAACTGGGTGTTCTTTTTTCTTTACCACATAGCCTCTCCTGAGTTGGTTGACCTGGATTCCAGGCTCAGCTCAGTCCCTACTAGCTGTGAGGCTTTTAACATGATTCAACTTTTCAGAACTTTAGCTGTCTCATTTATAAATCGGGGCTCAGCAAATTCATGGGGTTTCTGAGATGAAATGGGATAGGTTTAAAGTTACCTAGCATGTTTTTATAGTTTGAAGAGCAAGTGTCTGAGTTTTTCCCTCTCCAACATTTTATTTTTAAAAATTTCAGACATTCAAAAGAATTGAAAGAATTTTATAAGAACACTCACATGACATCACCTAGATTCTACAATGAACATTGTTCTCTATTTGCTTTACACATATTGATCTATCTGTCCATTCCTCTGACCATTCATGTATCCATTTTATTTTCTTTAACGTATTTCAAAGTAAGTTGTAGACATCATTACACTTCACTTCTAAGCACTTCCACACAAGGCTAACTTTTGTGCAAGAAACTTAAGCTGTCACTTGAAATTTAGTTGAACCCTGTTATTGACAAGTAAAATTTATGAACCAGTTATCTCCAGTATGTTTTATGACCTCATAATTATCTGATCAAGAGTCTTAAAGTATTTACAGTTTGCTGGGCAATAAAACATTTTGAAAGGAAGAGCATTTTTGTATTTTTTATAATGAATGGCAGGAAAAACAACATGACATTAGCCAATTGTGATGGAACAGTTTTAGTCTTACCTGAAAGTTTGTTTCAATCTGATTAATTATCAGTCAAGTTTATTGGTTAGCGCCATCCTCTTAAGTCTTCCACCCTTAGTTCAAAGAGAAATGACTTACAAGACAGTACCTGAAGAAACGAGTATTTTTTGGTCCAGGTGAAATGCTTTACAGTGTCTTTTTAGTTAAGGTTGATACTCTATTTAAAAGGAGAATCAAGACATACAAGTGGTCAACAGGTACGTGAAAAAATACTCAACATCACTAATCATGAGGAAAAAGCAAATCAAAACCACAATGAGAAAATATCTCAGCCGGGCTCGGTGGCTCAGCCTGTAATCCCGTGCCTTGGGAGGCTGAGGTGAGTGGATTGCCTGAGCCCGTGGGTTCGAGATCCACCTGGGC